AATGATATGAAACCATCGATTCGTGTTGATGATATTTCTTCGATTGTGATGCAAAGTAAATCTGAATGGATATTAAACATGTGTCGATATTGTTGCGAAGCAGGTGCATTGAAGTCTTGTGGCAAATGTAAACAAGCTAATTATTGTTCAAAAGAATGTCAAACCATGGATTGGAAATTATATAATCATAAACTTATTTGTAAAAGTTAATCATTATTGGAAGAATAATGCAATAAATAATAAAAGAATACTAAATAAAAGTGAAATATCTGAATATCTTGAGGGTGTAGATGTAAGTAAACAGAAGAATATCACCCTCACCCAACTTACACTCACACCCTTACATAATCAGGTGAAAATTAAACTTCATAAGTCATGACTAGAGATCTTTTGCCAAGTACAATTTATGAAAGTAGATTGTTGATGAAATAATATTTTGATATCTTTTGAAAACAACGCTTTATTTAATATTCGATAGATGAATGTTTTTCGAGTAATTATTCTGAAAGTTATCAGTTTCATTCTTATCATACTATCAACAACATTTACTGACAAGTTTTCTTTAGCATAATTCTTTTAGCATCTTAATCAACAAATAATAATAATACATCTTGACGACTCTTGTACATGAATTTGTAACTGTACGAAATTTTTTTATCATGCGTGATGAGACTACAGTTGCTAATAAATGATTATAGATGTCGACAACAAAATTTTGTTCGAATAAGAAATAAATATATGGATCGTCATTAATGTTTTCAATGAATATTAGAGACAATTTCTTCACCCAATGAACCACACATGATCAGGAAAATATTTTCGTCAATTACTAACGTCATATGTTGAACACACATATCTGAATCTTTGGGTATGTTGAAGTAATCTACTATATTTGACGTTACAGTCTTACCATCTCATTACTTATTACATTAGTATCGAGTTACATGAGAACATTGGATTCAACATTTTTTTCACTAAGTCATCCGGATTGATCGACTCCCGTGTCTAAAAAGATGTTCTTCTTAAGTATATATAAGCAAGTTACAAGTAAAAGAAAGAGGTGTGCATTCATCAATATGCATTTGCAACGAATTGTTTAGACGGCGAATTATCCGTCAACGAATTGACCTTGCACCGTTTCACATACATATATATTGTGGATAATGTTCATTGTTCTGCTATTCATCGAAAAGAAAAGGCGAAGAGATGGATGAAATCAATGTGCGTCGATTGGAAGATTTACCTGTGGAAATTTTATTTGAAATATTTAAATATCTCAAATTTGAAGAACTTTATTCATCAATGGCTCATTTAAATATTCGTATGAATATGATTCTCAAAAAGCAACCTAATTTAAAAATTTCAATATATTTATTAAAACCTGCATTATCATTTTTTGATTCATTTACTTCACTAACCATTAAATTTGATGAAAGAAACAAACTACATCTTTATCAATTTCGATACCTGAATTTAATCAATCTTCGTTCATTGAGTATTATTATATTATTTTATGAATGGTGGGTTGTTACATCAGAAGACGAACTGAATGCATTTATTAATCCTGATCGATGTCCTTTACTCAGATATTTACGTTTACCGAATTGTACTACTAAACTCACCGAATTTATCTTTACGGGTGCATTTCCTTATTTAAAAAAATGCATAATTATAGATTGTCAAGAATTCTTTTCCACATCGTCAAAATCGTTAGCAAAAGCTCTTCACTATCTTCATATACATAGCAAGAACGGAAATGAGTTTCATAGGATGTTATCTATGTGTCCTAAATTAAAACACCTTCACTTCCATTCTGACGAATTACCTTCAACTCAAATACGAAATATACACTATCCGTTTCTGAAATGTTTGAATATTGGATTGCTTATGAACTTTCTCTTTCACAATGGTCAATTTGATATTTTTCTTTCTTATTTTCCAAATCTTATCAATTTTGATCTAAGTGTACATCATTCTTGCTATCACAATGAAATAGTCGATTTTGCTCAAGTAGCTGATTGTCTTCGTCGTCGAATTCCTCGTTTAAAGAAACTAAAATTGCATATTTGTCTGAGTAAAACATATCCTTCTCAATTATTTTTTGTTCAATTTCCACTGATTGCTCAAATGCATGAATTATTTCGAAGTATCAATGGATGTCCATGGTTTATACGTATTGAATCATTTGATTTCAATCCTTCATACATAGACTATTGGCATTATATTCGACCTACATCTGAACCAAAATCATAACAAATTCTATAGTTTAATTAACATTAAATTTTGTTTTTGTTCAATATATGTCATTAGTTTTTCGACAAAGTAGACAAATAGTTTTAATAAAAAATAAATTTCTTTTCTACAGTCAACAGTTTTAAGTGTGGGTGTGGGTGTTGTATCATCGACCCTTCTTCACATCCCCACACTTACAATTTAACGTATTTTATTGTTAAAAATTCTGCCATGATCAAATTTGAATTCTTACCGAATAAAACGCTTTTGGAATGTTTTGAATATCTGAATGGGATAGATATATATTATGCATTTAGTGGATTAAACAATCGTTTTAATCATTTAATTCGAAATATTTCATTACATGCTAATTTTCAAAATGTTAAAAGTGAAGTATTTAATCAATTCTGTACTCAAATGTTACTAAATCCGTCTATTAAAAATCAAATAGTTTCATTACATTTATCAGATGCAAAAGGTACACGCGGACAAGTACAAGGATTTTTATCAATGTTTCAATTAAACGAATTTTCTCATTGACGATCATTAACTTTGGTTGAAATAGTTTATAGATAGTGAAGTAATGAAATCTATGTTCAAATTCTTATCTAATCTACAGCATCTTGTTATTAGAAACTGTTATTTCAATGAAGATATACAAACAGTGATTATGCAGTTAACAGTATCAATGCTATGTTATAATTCAATGTTTATTGATAAA